CTCTGAACAAGCTCACATTAATAGGCTGCTAAGACCGGCAATCTTATGGCGTGGAAAGCATGTTGCAAACAAACTGTGGAAGCTCGCCATCAGCACGCGTTCAGCATTTGTGCACACAGCTATGGCCGCCAGTGAATACTCCCTGTATGTTATAGCGAATTCGTTTCACGGCACTCGTGTCCACGCGTGCCCACTCACGGCGTAAAGCGAGTTTGTTTCGGCAGGCACTCCACGAGTAGTTGCACTCTCCGAGTTCGTTTCAGCGGCGGCACCCCACGCGTGCATGCACTCGCTGCCCTGAGAAAATCGGGCGTGCGCCAAAATGCAATCCCGTCATGCCTCGCTCCGGCGAGGAGCGGAAGCAGACGACGAGGGTTCGTCTGCTACGATGTGTCGCGGAACCGAAAGGGAAAAAAAAAGTAGATTTTATGATAGAAAGCGCATCCCGCGGGCAGCGGAATCAAATGCGAGCTTGAATTGTGAGCGTCTGCTATTTCATGAAGAAAGCAATTGACAACTCGTGCTTTATTTGTAGGTTTTAAGTCCCTCTGTTGCCGTACAAACACTGAACTATACAGTGTGTCAAGAAAAGCTCAAAACAAACGCACCAGCGGCCCCCGAGATATTTATCAACATGTGCGGGTGAAAAATTGAACATTTGTCGACAAAACTCCCTCAGCAGAAACCTCTGACTGCCAAATAAGCATCAGAGAAAGCTAAACATAGTGACTTTATCCGAGGCTTGGGCAGCATCATCATGTTTAACATTTACCTACGTCAGCTAACCTGCCCCGTCGTATTTCGTTCGAGAAAGCTCTCGTTCTCGACGTCCTCATCAAGGCTAATATCTGATCCACTTGTAATGACTATCGAAATCGAAAGTCCCACGAAAAGTTTTGCTGGATATTCCAACAGACTAGTTTTAAGCCGTACCCTTTCAGTGGTTCACGCATAATACCATGCTCAAACGGATCAAGCTTCTGCTCGGACAGCATCATCAGTTTTCTTCAGTGTAAACGGTTATAAGAATTAAAAGATCGCAACCAGCTGCTTTGCAGACAGCTGGGTGCGGAAATTTACGCCGTCTGTAACTATCTCTATGACAGCCGAGTTGCTTGAAGTCATCGCAGCTATAAACTACAGGTTGCAGCATTCAACGTTTGTAGATAAACGTTGGTAGTGACTGCACTCTCGCATTCCCACCCATCACTCCGAACAGAAAGGCGCTAGTTTCGGTTTGAGGTCGGTATCTTTTCTACAACATAGATGGCGGCAGCATCAGTCTTCTGCACTCGGTGCATTTGGCGAGTTCGTTTGAGTCCAGTTCTCCGTGCAACACTCTGCGAGTGCGATGCATTCTGGGAGAGAACTCGAACGGTGCCAGTGCGTGTGAAATTGAACTCGCTATTAGGCTGCTATGTCTTGACAACCCATGCTCATCATTCATGATTCTTTCTTTTGTGTCATATTTTAAATTGAAGTAAGAATATTTGCATAAAGCGAGCAGATTAATAAATATCTCGATTAGGATAGCTGTGACAAATTGTTCATTTCCATGCCAAATGTATATAAATATACCAGTTAAATAAAAGTAACTGAACTTGAGAAGTGGACAAATGGAACAATGGGAACAACCTTCACGAGTTCAGCCAAATTTTCATTTTAGCAGTTTGCATAATAGTGAACGCTTGGAGAAACAATGCAATATTTGATTGGAAAATATTCGGCCAAAATTACTATTCGCTTAGAACTCAGAATACACTATTTTCACGTAACGTACATGTTTTCATAACCTTCTATGTCTCTGTGGAGGATCTTTGTGATACGAGAGAAAGGGAAAACAGAGAATGCATATCAACTTTTGTTTATTTTCTTTGCTGCTTGGGAAAGCAGACAAACACTGGGAAGAATCACATCGTTCAGGTATGTCGAACTGCGGTGGAATCAGAAAGCAGAAAAGTAGGGGTGTGCGAATAGTGATTTTTGAGACGGAATCGATTACGAATCGAATAATTGTGGCACCGCATCGAATATGAATCGAATAATTTTCTTATAGTTTCCGAATAGTAAGTAGACAACTACTAAAAAAGAGCAAGGAGATTATAAAATTATTTTTATTGTTCCAATATGTTTCTTAACATTATTGTAAAAACGCAAATAGATGATTATGACTAGAGTTCACCTATACATAATTAAATAGATACAAAGGCTACTCAAATATTAGAATGCTAAACATAATATCACAGGTCACGCAGATGCTGAACATAAAATCAGAGTTCACTTGAGCTTGGTACATCCTGAGGCAATGTACTTAGTAGGAACTATACATTCTCTTTTTATTCCTTGATGTAGCAGATGTCCTTGAATCTAGGATCAAGGAAGGTGGCAAGGGCGTGATGTGCCTGTGTGCTTACGTCCAGGAACCTTGTTTTCACTGATCCGAGAAGATTCTGGGAAAACGCAATCTCTGGTTCCACTTGCGTCCTCAAAAATCAACATCCTTACACACAGAATAAGTGGAACAACCATGGAAAGTGTTGGCAAAGGCTCGACACAAGCAGCTGTGATGGCTTCTTCAATTGGTTGCATGGGAGTGGCCGAGAAACTTCCACACTCCACTGCGCTTTCTCTTCGAACAACTTCCCGCTACTACCACTTCTACTTCGCTCATACAGAGCGGCGGTACTGTTGTAACCAGTTCTGAAACGTCTCCATGGCACGCTTTCCGAAAGCATGTACGAGCAGTCTCGTGCGAAAGCGGTCCCTAAAGGCTGAACTGCATTTAAAAGGAAGCTACGGAGCTTCTTGGAAAAAATGAGCTAGAAGTGAATTCAAGTGTATTTTTACACCGTGAACCCGAATACCCAAACTATTTGCTGCGTAAGTATTCTTAAACGCGAGAAAAACGCGAAAGACAGTCGCTGTCCGTGACGTCATCGACGGCTCTTTTGGCTGCCCAAGGCTAGGGAAGCGGGGCTTCACTCCTATTTTGAAATTGCTCGTATGGCTCTCCGGCGCGTCGCATTGAAATACAATTTTGATATCTGTTAATCTAAAGGCCAAATGAACGCAATTTAAGCGTTTTTTCTCAAATGTAGAAGTGCCCCATCTTCCCTTTAAGCGATTTAGCGAGCGACGAGAGTCGGCAGCGAGCGATGGAATTTTCTCACTGTCGCTCGTTGCATCACTCGGTGTTTGGATTTCTAGAAAACGTCCTCATCACCTTGGTCGCTTGCTCACACCACTTTCATGCGGCTTGCCTCATCGCGCGACTGACCGAGCAACAGCGAAGCGGTTCGACGTCACCTGTCTTGTCTCTTGGTGAATCGCTTTCATGCGAGTTAAGCCTCATTCACGCATATGTTACCGAGTAAGACCGACAAAGACAAGACCGGTCTTTAAGCCTCTTGCGACGTCTTAGGACCGGGTGCGCTGCTGCGGAGCTGGTCCTAAAGCATCGTTTGCTCATATGCAACCGAGTGCGACCAAGAGAGACCAGACTGGTTTTTAAGCCTCTTGCGACGTCTTAAGACCAGCTCCGCTGCAGCGCATCCGGTCCTAAGACGTTGCAAGAGGCTTAAAAACTGGTCTTGTCTCTTTTGGCCGTGCTCGGTTGTAAATGTGTTAACGAACCTTTCTACTTAACTCAGTGGTCCCTAATGGAGGCAACAGCAACGTACGTAGAGAGAAAAACGGCTACTGCCGATAATGATACTCATTGTCTAGGAGAAGAGAGCCATCTTGCGGGCACATATGGCAGGCGTGCCGGAGCGTTGTGGGACGCCTGTGAAGGGAATCTCGCGGCGCGACACCGAAACGACTATACGGAAATTATTCTAAACTTTTGAAAATTATTATTCGATTCGATTAACGAATCTAATAGGGTAATATTTGATTCGTTATTCGAAAATGACAAATATTCACACACCCCTACAGAAAAGTGTTCTGCCAGGATTCACTACTGGTGCAACACTGTCTTTTATGTTGTTTGTTTCTCTTAGGACCTTCGCTACTCTGAGAACTTCTTTTTGAGGTTAAGTCGACCAAAAAGGTTTTTAATTTTTTTGAGATTTCCATTTCTACTTCCTGCTCGGAAAAAGGTCGCGCTTGGTTCACGACTGTCGCTCGGCAACTAAAAAGATGTCGGGAGATGACGGCAATTTGGAACTGTGGATGTGCGATTGCTTCATTGCTTCAATTTTGCTAGGAAACGAAAGATTTGGCAAAGTATAATATGAAGGTGCATCCTACCAAAAGGTTGAACCGCACGGCTCGCTTTTCGCTTGACACAATGCGACAAAAAGCTTACTTTTGGCAAACCAAAAACTTAATAGGCTCGCGCCGACTCTAATGTAATTGCGGTTGACTTCAATATTGAAGTCAAAAATAGAAGTGTGTCGTGAAGCGAATGACCTATCGTCCGCCTACGTTTGCCTACGCACAAACTCCAACCTGTTGGGATCCCGCCCCAGCGCTCCTCCGTTCCGGTCAGCACTGCTTGCAATCTCGTAAATGTGTGCGAAGTCACATTTTGAAAGCACAAGCGGCGTACTTGGTTGCGACAGAATGTCCACGGAGTAAAATTGGCCGATCGAAACTGAAACATAGTGGCCAGCCGGTACCCCCGATGCAACGCGTGGCATCTTGCCGCTAGGATCGCTTCAATTTAAGAAAAAGTTTCATTGATTTGGCGGCGGCAGATTATCTAAGGGTCACGTGATTCTAGAAAATGTGCACTACACTCTGACGCCTGCGCGGATGCCCGGCTTGTGTCAGGTTTTTTTTTTTCTCGCAGCCTCGACGTGGCAGACTTAAACCGGCCTAAACTCCTCGTTGAATAACGCGAAGTTAGGCCGTTTAGACATTTGAACAGCTGCTATAACATATATGGATGTTGGACGAGAAAGCTCTTCTTGTATTGTGCCAAGTAATTTGAATATTTTAAAATTTAATGTGTTTAGGTATGTAGATTGGTAATTCTGACTTTTGATTGGTCCCAGGCAGTGGCTGTACAAACTGGCGAGGGGGGTGGACGACGAACCCGTGACCTGTCGGAAGCTGCCCCAGTCCATTGGCTGCAGCAAGAACTTCAGCGGCAGCTCGGCTCTGCATTCGACAGTCAAGGTGTGTTCATTCGTTCCTTCATGTTTTGTACTCATAAACAGCTTGCTACAGAAATTGAGTTAAGGGGGGACATGGGCCTAAATTTTAAATTTGTTTGAAAAAATTCATTTTTTAATTTTGAGGTTTTCAGTTTTAGAAACTAATTATACACCCTTACACCAATTTTGATGACCATACGCCAAATAGTTATGTTGATATAAAATATTTTCAACACATTGTGAGGCAGTAACAAAGTAAAGGAGTTCAATGTTTGAATGCATTTTTCTCAGTTCCACTTTTTGCTGCGAATTTCATACGAAGGAATCTTTTGTTCGAAGGTGAAAGTATTCTGATACCACAATCAAGATGTTCCTGAACTGAAATTTACTCAGGAATCGGGCTATCTACTTTATTTTGTTTTAGGTTGAAGTCCTCAGTGATAAAAAGCCAAGTTTTAAAAAATTGACAGATGACAGAAGTGCATCTCGTAGTTTGAGGTAATAACTCTTCCTGAAATATTTACATTTAAGTTATTAAAACTAGATAGCCCGAGGTCCCATATCCCCCACTTTATATTCAAGCAGTCAAAATGGTGCTTAATAGCTTGATTTGCATATCATAGATTTCTTAATGAAAAGTGACACATCATCTTATGCAGGTATGTAAATTTGTCCTAGAGAGCTGAAAGTTGGCACAGTACACCTACATCTGAAGCTAAATCTCCCCTGCAAATTTCATTCCAATCACTAGAGTAGTTCAAAAGTTTGACCTCTAGCCAGTGTCCCCCCTTAAAGACGTTTGTTTTTAAGATTTGTGATGTGTGATGTGAACAAAAGTTACGTTGCACATTCCCTCTCTCACTCATTGCGTTTCTGACGGGAGGAGACGAAGTCTGGGCAGATATTCGAGATGGGACTCGACGCAACGGCCAGGCGTGGAGAACCTGGAAATACAGTCGCCGACTGATTTTTCGGACTTCGCAGGGACCGAAAAAACGTCCAAATAACAGAGCAGTCCGAAAAATCAGCAGTTGGAAAAACTTGCCTTAATTACTTCCAAGCGGAGTTAAAGAGTTGTAAATAGTGGCTTGCTTCAGGTAACGCCTGCGTGCCTTGTTTTAGGTTACACCTCCGTTTGCATTTGGCAACTTTCTATTAGCTTGAGAATTGCTGCCTTCTTTTCTAGCGTTATGGTTGAGTACTTTCGGCGCTTAGCGACACTTCGCGGGGGCGGAAAACAGACGGGGCCATGACGTCCAAGCCAGTGTAGTCCAAAGACACGATTCATTGAGATCAAGATGAGAGGCACAAGTTCATGGCTGCAATGGCGAATTAACAAAGCAAAATGGAAACAACAATGATAGTGATAATGACGCACAGCTGGAAAAAAAAAAAAAAGCCCTACAGTGTCACCTAGCAGTAGGACTTAGCAGTGTTTAATTTTAAGTAGCACTGCCAAACCAAGCCAATTCATGTGCAGCCAACATAGAATCCAAAATTGCCGCTTCTCAGGGGTGTTTCCCGCTGATCGCTCGCGACAATTTTGTTCGAAAAATCAAACTTTTGAACTTCAAGCTGTCCGAAACATTGGTCGTAAATATCCAATGTTTTTATGGGGTGGGTCACGGTTCCTCTTTTAAGTCTGAAATATCAAACAAGGCCGAATTATCGGAGTCCGAAAAATTGGTCGGCGACTGTAATGGTGCTCCCGAATAATGGAACCCTGGAGCTAAAAAAGTTTCCTGTTGCGTATCAAAGCCTCATATCCCAGAGGATGACTTTGTTTGGTCGGAGTTCACTTTTATTGTGAGTTTGTTTGTCTTTCATAGATGATAAAAAAGCACGGCGCAGCTTTTTATGGTTCTGCCGTGATGCAAAGAACGTTTCGAGTCAATGATTTATTTATATTTGGTCTAACGAGGAGTTTCAGTAAATACTGCAGTTTTTGTGTTTCATAAGCAAATTTAACAATTATCCAACCTTTAAAAATATTTATGGGGCCATTTTGATTTTTCTTGTCCGATAATTAGATGTGGGAGTTTTGCTTCCGAGATCAGAAAGTATTAGGAAAAGAGACTGAATTTGGTGGGGTCATTGTTGTTGACAACGGTGTCTTTTGTGGCTCGGTGCAGGTGAAATACTGGGTCGAGCAGCTGGCTGCCGAGCTGGCAGAACGACTGCAGCGGGACCAGCAACAGGTTTGCTCGCCTTCTCAGCTCACGGCAGTGATGTGATTGCTGCGCCAGTTGCGCCAAACTGCACCTAGGGGCTAACCCTGCTACATGCTGCTACATTTTGCCAAAATGTGGGTAATCTGCGCCAAGCCTGCGCCAAAAAACCATTATCGGTGGCCTTGCAAAACCGAAATTAAACTGAGTACCGTAATTGAGCACACGTGAGCTAGGTGGCGCAAGTGGCCGCCCGGCACAATGTACCCTGCATCAATTGTCCATTCGGTCGTGCATGGTTTTCTTGCCGTCTGAAGTTTCGCGCTCTCGTCGTCTTGTGGGTATCGTTTTTTTTAAATTTTTTAACGATGTACGCGGGTGCGTGCGGACGCTCCAATGCTAGCATGCCGGGTACCAGCCATGCCGTGATGCTGTGAAACGAAACCACGTTTTTGCGCGGCGGGAGTTATTTTGTGAGCTGAAGCACTAGCTCATGAAAGCAACGGCCACGGGAAAATTATATTTGTAACCTGCCTTCAAGTCACCATGGTCGTGCGGCGTCGGATATTGCCGTTCCCACGTCGCTGCAGATATGGCGCTTTCTAAAAGGAGACTAAATAACGCCACATGTTCATCAACATTCCTGTTCTTGTTTAAATCATGCGTTACTATAAAAATCACTCTTTAACTTAAAGACTGTTGTGTCGAAGTACTAATTACCTAGGGTTCTCTCAGTGGACTTTCTTTCGAGAGAGACCCCGGTACGTGAAAAATCTGCCGCGGAAGAAATTTGGTGAAGAGAAGTGAGCTAAAGCGAAGAAGGCAATCTCCACGCTGAACCCGCACAGCGCGCTTGTTTGTCTCGAGTTCAGTCGTTACACAAAGTGCTTCAGGAACTTTCTCACCCTGGCTCGCAAAGTCTTGCATCGATGCGCTCAGTTTTTTTGGGTTTTTTTTGTGTTTAGTTTGTATTTTGTCTGCCGTCCTGGCAAGCACGCGCCGCTGCACTGTTTTTTGTCGTATGGTCGACAGTTAAATTTTGCATACAATGTTGGGAATCAGTTAGCGACGGAGAGGAGTGGCAGCCGTTGTCTCCGCTCGCGAGACTAAGCGCGCGCAACTGCAAGCCTGCCGAAGTTGCCCCCATGTGCACGTGAACGTGATTGCACGACAGAGGCACCAGCCGGGACGCTTGCAATCTATTGTCTCGCGCTTGCTTTCTTTTGACGAAAATCCGGCACGTCGGGAACCAGTAAAACGGTGGCAAGCGGATTTTCGGAATTGCTCGGCAATGCTACGGCACTGTACACTTTTGGGATGTCTCAGCCGTAAAAACACACGCAGCAAATTCCGTTACAACACGTCACATCAGAACACAACACAATCCAAAGTACCCTTCGTTTGTACAGCACTTAAAACAAATATTTTTATTTTTCTAAGAATATCTGCTCCAAAAGCCACTTTTGCTGCTCCAAAACACTGTCTTGGCTGCTCCAAAAGCCATTTTTTCTGCTCCAAAACACTGTTTTGACTGCTCCCAAAGGTGCTCCAAAATGGCTTAGGCCAATCACATCACTGTCACGGTCATGGACCGATTTTCCAAATTCTGTGGGGATTGCACAAAAGTAATTGTGCACAACGAAAAATCGTTCTTGTTCAAAATGTTAAGTCTCCGTTCAACTTCCACTCAGTACCTACCACTTGCTGCTCGTTCAATAATCGCAGTTTTCTTCTCCGTCGTCCTCGTGCAGTATTGGATGCGTCTGGTTGGGAATCGCCTTTGGTACTGCCATTTGGCACGGATCGGGTCCAATGTTCCGCCCATCCTGGCAGAAAGCACACTCAGGTTTGTAAAGCACAGAAGTGGTGACACACACGCCTAGCAGCGGATGGTGCTGGGACTATGACAGCCTCCCTACGATAGAAGCTTCAGTGGGACATTGCCTGTCCAGTGGCTGATAGGAACTGAGTTGCAGTGACTGACCGAGCTTCACAGAGTTTGTGTGACAAACCTACAGGGTGTTTCCGAACACAAGTTGGACGAAAACAATTTGTATTATTAATAAACTGACGGGCAGAGTGCAGTGAAACTTCTCACAAAGGCTTCTTTGGGTGGTGCATTTGTCATGCTCAAATTTGATGAGTGGAGGTTTAGGAAAATAATTTAAGCCCTTAAAAAACCTTGTTTTTTTCCTATGCACAGGGAGGAAACTGGCAGAAACCATCCGGTTGATGCTTCTACTCGCAGAGGGCACAACATACGGCAAAAACGGGAAAGCGTCTTTGAGGTGAATATCTGAAAGATCCGAGGATGTGTGGTACCATCTGTGAGTAGAGGCGTGAGCCAGACAGTTTTTGCCATTTTTCTCCCCAGTTCATAGCAAAAGACGGACTTTTATCAGGCTTCAATTTTTGTATTCCAACCTGTGCTCATTAAATTTGAGTATGATGAATGCACCAACTAAAGACACTTTTGTGGAAAGTTTCAGTACACTTCGTTAGTCGTTTATATGAATCTTTTCAGGCCAGGATACAGTATAGACCACTTACAACGTAACTGCTTATAGTGCAGGACCGGGTATAACGCGTTTTTTTTAAACCACCGGTTCACCCCCCATAGAACTCCATGTAATTACATACCGCTTAAAATGCAGGCGCGCGAAGGGAAATACCGGTTATAGTGCGGTTTTTGGCACAGCCCGCCGACCGCGCCGACGACTGGAGCAGCGAGCTCGCTTCCCTGTGCGACACTAGGTAACGGCGCTGACGCAGCTGACGGCGCGAGCCGCAAGCTGCACTCGCAGGGCAAGGAGGTTGCTCGAAAACGCGGGGAGAAGCGAAGAGAGGGGCTTCAGTTGCCATAGCGACGGAGGAACGCACGCACGAGTCGTTCACGTGCCTCTCTGCTCTAGACCGGCCGTGCCCTCCACTGCATTGGAAACAAAGAAACAAACAACCGCAACGACAGACCAATCGCAGGTCGAGGAGAAGTGTTCGCGCGCGTTGCATGCCGGTGTGCCGGTCACAGGCCGGCTGCTTTTATTCCGCAAACATGGCGTCGGTTGTGATCCTCGTCGTAGACGGCGTGCATCTCATCGTTCTGCGTAAAAGCGCTATCCTTGACTGAATTTTCGTTGTGTGTCGCTATGATAACCCAGGACGTACTAGAAGGGAAGATTCACCTACTCGTGCGGCGATGTCGTGGCGGCGCTCTCAAGACAGCAGAAACGCCCGTGTCGTCGTGTTTGTTTACTTCGACTACAGTGGTGATTTCTAAGCATTTACGTCCTCGAACATCGCCCGGATTTCTTATTTGGCGCATTTCATGCGTGTGCTCAAGTTCAAGGTATCGCTGGCGCGTACCGTATGAAGGATGCGAATTTTCACGGGTTTTCATCTCCGGAGAAAAGTGATTAGGGTTAGCAATCCTGAACGCTCGCAACGTCCGTCCGCAACCCGCGACGCCGTTAAAAGGCTGCGCCAGGGAAAAGCTGCTCATTTCTTTCAAAATGTGTGACACACTTGAGACAGAACTGTGCTAGTCTATTGAAATAAAGACTTTCCTCAAACTAAGCTTTATTTTTCATCTAACATAATATAAATTCTTTTATAAAGGTAAGTTGTCTCATGGCATGTATTTTGGCCTGAAAAATTGATGTTTTGGTTATAGTGCGGTACCGCTTATAGTGCGGATTTTCGCGACTCCGGAGACATACGTTATGTGCGGTCTACACTGTAGTGCTCGTAAACACTCTCTAGCAAAAGAGGTCCGCCACCCTCTCGTGTGTTTCGGTTGCCTCAAAATAGCAGAGTGTACAGGCAAGCATCCAGACTGCTTATGTTGCTTTAATAAACACAAAGGAGCGGCAAAATTTCACTTGCAGGGTCGGTTTGTACTGTTTTCTAACTATGTTTTGGAAGGAAAGACTGGTGTCATGCGTTGTATAAAAATAAATACATCTACCTTAAAGGGACACTGACGGTATTTATGCTTGCTAAAGTTTTTATTTGTACATGACATGAGAGCCTACCTACCCAGAACATATTTTGCGCCTCAAAATTAGTTTTCTTTCCGCCCGAAAACTGCCAATCGAGAACTGCCTGGTATGAGTCGCGCTCACTCTCTTCTCATGGTCACAATTCGTTTTCCATGGTTTAGACGCAACCACCAAAGATAATCAGAGTTGTGGGTCATCAAAGGCACACACTCAATACTAAAAATAGACAAAAAAATAAGACACCCATATTTTGTGGCCTCTAAAACATTGCAAATACGCTGATTGAAAAAAAGAAAAGCTGCAGAGCCACATTATTTTTGGTAAATTTTTCCTCCTCTATATTTCTACTTCCTACCAGATCGGTTTCTGTTTTGAGCAGTTGCGGTTTTTGACTTTATTAAAAATATATGTGACACTGTAGCAAAATATTGATTGGGTAGTCTACTGAAACCATAATGAATTGCCTGACAAAAAACAAGCAAACAATTTTCGGGGGTGTCAGTGTCCCTTTAATGCTAGGGTTGAAGTCTTGACACATGGAGTATACAGTCGAAGAATGCTGTTTTTTTTCTCTACTCGTAATTATCGATATCGTTCAATGTTAGTTCATTAAATATTTCATGTAAATAAGGCAGGCAATGTTTTGCTTGCTAGATGCAGCGAGACGGGGACCCCGCTAAATTATGCGACTGCGTGAGGTTCTTTATCACATTGTTTTATAATGTTACGCTCATCTCATGAATGCGAGTCAGGGGGTATTCACCGGACACCATATTAGATCACACCGTTCGCTGCACATGCCCAGAACGAGCTTACATTTATTGGGCGCGAAGATCTGCAATTTTGATGGTTTCAAATGCAAGTTGCAAAAGAGCTGCGGTAGCTCTGTGTCGGCCCGCGTTCAGCAGCCGGGAAGTCAGCTATGGCCGCCGGTGAATACTCCTTTTAATGGCCGATTCACAGATTTGTGTGGGTTGCATTTGGAGCGACCGAAACCACAGCAACGACAAAGTCACCGGAACAAGCGTTTACCATATGCAGTGTGGCAGGCAACGTAAGAGGTAGCTTTGGCAGCAGTAGTGAGTCACGGTTGTTCCGGTGTTGTGGTTGTTTTGGTTGTTGTGAATGCAGCCATCACCAATGTGGGAACCAGCCCTTACTTGTTCTGCGTTAAAAGCTAGAGAATTAACAAAACACTCAAACAACTCAAATGCGTTTGCTGTTCCGTTGCCCTCTTTCTCAAACTTTTTCTCAGTACCACTGGGAAGACTGCAGTGCATTTCGGACTGGTGCGTTCAGTGTCCTATTCCTCCCACGCATTGAAAGTGGTCCCAAAGTGGCAACCCAGAATATCGCAAGATCCAGCATGTTGTGTTGTCATTCTCCATATTAAGTCGTTATATAGCTGTATGGCAGAGCTTGGTACGTGACCATGTGTGGCACTATACTCTGTTTCACCTTATGATGTACCGCAGGAAAGGCTACAGGCGCGAGCTCCTTGCTCTAGGGCACATATTGGCGGCGCAAGCTCTCGTGCGTTAAGAGCAGCTCCCAACACTATGAGCTCGTGCTTCTAGCCTTCTCTGTGTTACGACATAAGGTGAAACGGAGTATAGCGTCGACGAGGTTGGCTAGGAGTCGCCAATCTAGCCAGCACCGCTGGGAGTCTGGCAGCCAAAAACGGTGTAGCAATTTTGAACCCCCTCTGATGCGTTTCTTCTCGCTAACGTAAGCGTATTCGGCTGTGTACTCTCAGTCGACCAATTAAACTTGCTTTTCTGCAACATTTTCCAAAAAAATATAATTCTTCCCTCCTCTTCTTTTCTCAAAATGAACTCTCTGTGCCGCTTTTACCCTCAAGCTCGAGCGCTGAGAGTCAAGCTTCAGCACCCTCTTGTAGAGGCACTCAGTTGCCTGGTGCTTTCTTGCTCGCAAAAACGCCATTTATTTTTAAAAGAAGTGAAAAAAAAAACTTATTTCTAGATTCTGTTGTTAGAGATCAATTAAGAATTGATTGATTGATCAATTACAGGCGTAAACAAACTTCAGCATACGAGAAACAATTTTCTTCTTTTAAACTACTCGTTATTGCGAATTGAGGGTGGCTTACTGAGAGTGGGGGGGGTCAGACGAAAATTCCCCCTCTGGAACAGTGGCACACCTGGCGGCAGTTTTTGACTCCGTACCAAGCTTTGGCCGAAGTTTCGTAACCAGTAGCATGGCAAAGGACTCCGGCACCGCCAACGTCGGCGCTTACGATTCGCTGCCCTTTGCTCCCTACTTTGCTGTCTTGCTAAGTGTGGTCCCTCGCAATGCAGAACGACCGGATCGCCGAGCTGCTGACGGTGGGCGTTCAGCGAAGTGGCCAGCAGGGGGCCGTCTCTCGCTCCCGCCCGATGGTAGCCTACTGCGCCGCGAGGATCGCCCAGGACGCCCTCGCAATCTTGGCCAAGCTCAACACGACGGGCTCCTGGTGAGTTGCGGCGGTCGTTGCAATAATCCTTGTGGTAGTCGTCGAGAAGATGAGAATGATGAGGCATCTTTTTGAATGCCCAGCCTTCGGTGCACTCTCATTTGCCCTCGCCGTGCTTTCACTGTGCATGTACGCTTGAGTTTTGGGGGATGCCAAAGCGTCATTGAAGGTAGGAAGCTCGCAGTTAAAGCGGGACAACTGAAGTTCCTCCCTGTCATTCTCACCCTTTCAGTAACTACTCGAACTGGGGTAGTAATGCAATTACAGTAATTGCATTACTGTTACTTACTTACTTTCTTTTTTAATTGTAATTAATTGCTTTGACTAAAAAGAATTGTAATTGTAATTTAATTGTTTCCTAGCATCTGTAATTGGTAAATTTCAGGCATATTTACAATTACATTTTGCAAGACTTTGCGGCACCAACGGCACCTCTCTGAAAGCCTCAGCACTCGCAGAAGCGGCCTAGCTCTTGGTGAAATGCTTGCACACATAAATATGCACTCACACGCTTTTGCAGAACAAAAATAGCGTCACATTGTTTGTTGTTTTGTTGCTTATACTCCGGGCTGACAGACAATCCTCTTTGGAGCTCTTACCTCAATGGTGCCGTGTAGCGCCGTCTGCGGTGCAAGCAGAAAACAGTAGCGTAAACATGGAAATATTTTTTTTGCAAGTTTGTTTTATGACATCCTTTTCCATCTAGGCTGTTTAAAAAAAATTTTTTTTTTCCTTTGCATGTGTCGTTTAAATGTTTCGACCAACATTTTATGGAGAATTTTCTAACATCTACACTAAGGGATGTTGACTTTTTTGCTCAAGTGTGATACTCTTAGTGTGGAGTATATTTAAGCAATGTTTGCTTTTGGAATGTGTCAAAACATTAGTTGTCTTTTCTTTTTTTTTATTGCAGGACTCCAGCTCTTACGAACATTTCTCTGTCAGCCGCGAGATTCAGGGCCGTCGCCGCCGCCGACGCTGCCCAGGACATCTCCAAATTCTTGGTGCGTCGTTTGAAGGACTCGGCAGGGACCTCTTCCGAGCAGACCGTACCAGAGACCGTAGGGAAACACTGCAGTTCTTCACCGGACAAGAAGCTTCCAGAACCAGCTTTGGACAAACCAGTTGCTCGTGCAACATTTTCTTTCTCGAAAAAGCTCAAACTCCCCCTGGTGGAGTCAACGAGCGAAGAAAGCAGTAGTGACACGGTGGTGTTGCCAGAAAAAAATTACAATGGTCATTTTCTCTTATCAAATCTTCATAGAGATGCTGCCTCTGGTACCAAAGCAAGTGATGGCAGTCTTGCAGTGAACCTAAAGACTGACGATGCAGATCTCTCGCTGGAGTCACCTGCAGTCGTCCGCGATCACTCGGGAGCGGGTGTCGTCGAGGCTCGCGAAGAGTTCAGCTGTGGGGCATCTCTTCTTGCGCCTAAGCCTTGTTCTTCGGCAGCCATGGAGACGCGCAAATTCGTTGATTTTTTTGGTGTGGCCTCATCGGGCAAAACTGTGAAAGAGGAGCGAGACATGAGAAGTGATGAAAATCTCCCCGATCGTTCTGAAGGTACCCAGTATGGAGCCGACGATGACAGGTGCAGTGTCCCAGAAGATGTGGACTGTGCTGCTGGTGGCTCTCCCGGTGACCGTAACTCGGGCGACGGTTCGGTTGTCAGCCTGGAACCAACCTTTGTTCAGAATTGGGAACGGTGCGGCAAAGCGGTTCCCGTGTGGAAAGTGCAGGAGCACAAAGGCTATCATCTCGCACAGGACTTGAGCAAAGTGGAAAGCATTTTGCCTTTGCCAAGTGCAAGCCCGTCCAAGCGAAAAGCGTTTGCATCTCGGGGCTCCAAGCACAAAAGAAAGAAAGCTCGCCCCGAGAAGGTTAAAACTCTGAAAGACTTTTTTTTTGTGATTTAGATGAGTAAAAATTAAAACAATTCTGTGAAATGGTGCGACTTGTTCCTTTTGGTATTATATTTTGTGTTTGGACTGTACAGGGTGTTTCAGCTAACTTGTGCCTAGACTTAAAAAAAAGAAGCCGGTGTGTGCTACGTTTGTCAAACTGGTGCAATATTGTTCACAGTCCTCTTGAGCGGGTCAAGACGTCTTTTGTGGTTTGCCAAACTGACTAATTGACCCAGGTTAATTAGCTACCTTTTTGAGTATTTGTTTGCAAACTTTTCAATACAAAAATTGTGAGTCTTGGGGATGATGATGATGAATAAACCTTTATTTATCGAGCATCAGGTGCAGATGTTAGAGCACCCACCCGGTGGAAGGCACCCTTAGTCCGGGATACCCTGGCTACGGCTGGCTATCCGGGCCCTTGTCACCAAGTCTTGCTGGATCCCAGGGTCCGGGCTGGTCAGACAGGCCATCCACTGCTCGTAGGATGGGGTGGGTTTGGGAGTGAGGTCCGGGGTTCGTTGGCATTCCCATACCTGATGGTAAAGGTTGCCGGGAGGAGGACAAAAATTACAAGTGGCGGGGTATTGAACGGGATAGATGGCGTGAAGAAGGGTGCTGTGGGGATATGTGTTGGTCTGCAGTCTTCGGAGGGTGGTGGCTTCATCTCTTGATAATCTTGGGTGCGGTGCCGGGTATTTTTTTCGGTCGTGACGGTAGTGGGCTAGTATGTCGGCATGGTTGATGAGTAGGTCGGTCGTGGGGGCAACAAGTGAGGTTGTTCTCTCTCGGGTAATGGCCCGGTGTGTATGCGCGCGGGCAGCGGCATGTGCCGCCTCATTACCTTCGAGGTGTTCGTGTCCGGGTACCCAGACTAGGTGTACTTCGGGGAGCTGGGGGATGGTCTTGAGGATGCGAAGCACTGTTTTCGAGATGCGTCTCCGTAGGTAATTTCGACACGCTGCCTGAGAGTCTGAGCACTGTGATTATATCGTCGCCTGTCGTTGCGGCTAGGGCGATGGCAATTTCTTCGGCGGCTTCTGTAGATGTTGTGCGGACTGTGAGTGCGGTCATTTCTTGCCCTGCTGCATTGGTTACACATACAGCATGTGCTGGCTTATGCGGATACGGGGACGCGTCGGTGTATCTTGGGGAACATCCCATCTTGTCGCTTCTACCAAGGTAGCCTTTATTTCTAATCTTTTTCAAGATTTTAAGAAAGCGCGCTAGATTTTGGAAAATTACACATGACTAGTCGCTAGTGAACTGTGGTGTTAATACCCTTGGTCTCGTGGAATTTGTTAAAATTTTTCACATTTTCTTTAAGGCTCAAAAAAAAGTGGACACACCAAGGTCACCTTCATCGAAACGCAACATTGCAATGTTTGTCAACATTCTCCACAACTTTTTCTTTTAGAGGATTTGAGCACAAATTAATATTTAAAAAGGTAACTAAGTATAATTTGTTCTTATTAGCCAATTTGGCACATTGTCAACAATATCTTGACTTGTTCAGTTGAACTGTGAACAATACTGCATTGATTCGACACACTTTTCTCAAGTCTTGGCACAACCTAGCGGAAATGCCCAGTATAATCGTAGAAATTAAGTTATTGAGTATAGCAGTCTGAACTTTTTTTGAGATGTGTCTAGACGGGAAAGTTTCATTTTAAAGTTTAAAATAAAATGTATGCTGCATTGTTTGTGAAATGCTTTATTTTCAATTAATCCTGCATAATTTAAACTATCTGTATGTAATCCCCTTCTATGTTGTATCTAGTGCCACTAAATAAGCTACGCTTCAGAGTAACGACACTTGGTCATATTGTGTCTTAAAATCAGGGTTGCCAGTTATCTGAAGCTTTATCGGAAATCACAAGAAGCACATTTTGCGCCCTCCACAGATGTTTAGACAGTTCGCGACAGAGCAAGACAACATTATATGACTTAGCTTTCTAACACCGAATCTAATGCTGCGGAAGTCGCACTTATGAATCACGACGATCGGCAGTTGCGTCTGCTTTGCATACGAGCCAAAATGGCGACGCCCACAACAATGTCGGGGAATGGAGTGCCGATACTCTAAGTGCAGCTCATTTAGTGGCTCTAGTTGTGGCATTTGTAATATTATGACAGAAGTTTTTGGGTACCCTCTTGGAAACCTACTGCCTGAGTCATGAACCAGCATGTTTGGCATCCAACATAAAAATTGTTTGTGCTGCTGTATTTTGTAATCTGTGAACCGTGATTTTGAAACTTTAGGGATATTGGTTGCAAAATCGTAAGTTCTAAAGCATCGGACCTTATCTCTTTACCACAATTGCCATCATTAGTTATATCACTTGCACTTACTCCCACAGAAGTCGAGAAACGAAAGGAGAAAGATAAACCTGCTGCTCCTTTTTTTTCACAGGGTCCATGTCTTTACCTGCTCTACCTTGCTGTTTCAAATGCACCTTTTCAACAACAACAACAAAAAAAAATGAGCCATTTATATGTGTTCTGCAACAGCCGAGCTCGTTGAATGCACCCCTTCCCCTCTCTCCCCTAAGTCGCAATTTTGTTTTTATTTTATTGGGCTGTATGTTATTGGAGCAGTTTTTGTTAACTTCCAGGGTTTTGAGAGAACTGATAAACAAACATGTTATGCCTCTGGAGGTTGAATTTATGGCACTTGAAGCGTTTTAGGGGGTTTTAGTTTAATCTGATCAAAGTTGTCATGCAATTTTTAATAAACTTGAAAAAAAAAATATATGTGGTACTTTCCTTAAAATCAATGAAACTGCCTTGAAAAAATAATAGTGGCAAGCACTTTCAGAGAGGCGAAAGCGGTGATGTGATTCCTGCACAGTTGGTGCCAAAGTACTTACCCTGCTCTGTGTCACCAAGAAGGTTAGCTCCAGTTTCTCAGTACTGGAACTTAAAGCTTATAGCCCCGCCATACTTATCGAATCGGTGCGTTAGATCTGTGCGATCGAATTATGAACGCTTGCGATTATAATAGTTTCATCAAACTTTGAGAGTACTTAGAATTTCCGCTATGTGGTTCTAATTGTTTCTGGTCAGTACAGGCGGATTAGTCGGGTATGTTGAGCGCGCTTCTCACTGCGCATTGGTGTGCTGCTGTGAAACAACACCCACAAATCTTCATTGCAATCCTGCACATTTGGCGTTTCTGCAGTGCAGCGGCATTTTTAGAAAAGAACATACCTTTTGAGGCGGATGGTGCATGCAAAAAACCCGGATATTAAAAAAAAAGGCATCAGACTTTATTTCTGAAGTTTTATAATGCATGAAATGCAGTATTTAGGAGCGATCATTTCAATTGTTTGGAAGACATTAAAGGGACACTGACACCCCCCAAAAATTTTTTTTTATTTTTTGCCAGGCGCTTTATTATGGTGTCGGAGGACTACCCAATTAATATTTTGCAACAGAGTAGCATATTTTTTTAATAAAGCCAAAAGACGCAACTGCTCGAAACCGAAACCCGACGGAGATCGGAGAAATGGAGAGAAGAGAGTGAGTGGCGGAAGTTACGTGCTATACCCGACCGTGCGTTTTTTTTTTTTTTTTCTCCGTAGCAGACGACACGACATGCGGCGTGCGATGCGGCTTGCGGGAACTGCTCGCCGTTCGATTCTTTTGCAGTTATGTTTGTTCCGCTCGTTGTTCTGTACTCCAAGATGAGTTATTTTGTACATTGAGGAGTTGGAGATGAGTAGTGAGTGCCCGTGGTGAATTTCCATGATCGGCTCTGAAAAGAATACACCCAAGATGTTGCGTGAACAGCTGGCTCACATGTCCTGCGTCCGAAAAAAAAAAGTGGCATTGTGCGACAGAGTTTCCGAAAGATCAACGGGATCGGGACCAATGGCTGGCTGCAATTCCTGTAGAACATATACGGGCACCTCGGAAAGCGGACGCTACCTGATTTATATGCTCCTTGTATTTTGTGGAAAGTGATTACATGGATTTCGCAGTTGTCAAAACGGAAATCCCATACCATTTAATTCAGCGAAGTATCGTCCACAACATTTGTTTGCTATTTTTTGTTTGTTTCTTCAGTGATGATTGTAAAAAAAAGAAAAAGATATGTAAACATCGGAAAATGTTTGAAAAAAAAAATAAAGTTTTACGGATGATCGAACTCGGTCCTACCGCGTGTGAACCGGACGTCTTTCCCACTGAACACTGGGGCATCTGTTTTGTGGTGGATCTCTTTCCTTAGTAATAATTCAGCCGGTAAACTGTAAGTTGGAAAGTTTGCTGTCGATTTTTCTCTAGCAAATTTAGCACTCCCGGGTCGAAGTCGGGAAGCACCACGCTTTGGGGACATTCGCACCTAGTAAAGAAATCGTACGCGTGCATATTCAACTCGAAGTAGACACTTCGTGCTTGACGTTTGCGCGAGCGATGTCTTCAGCCACGAGAAGGGAGCGACGGCTCGGCGACGTCTTCGTGCAAATCGGCTTGGTGGCCGGGCGTGTCGTACGGGATGAATACCAATTCTTTTGAACAGTCCCAAATTTCTCTTTTAACGGTAGACAGAATTCGCCGGTACCGCGAACGACAGTTCTGAAATAGAGGTCCCACGCCCGTCGTCCACTACCATCGCCGTCCCCGCGAGTCCTACGATACGCGAAGCGACGAACGCACAGAATGCTTCCGGTTGTCTGTGGAACTTTTTTTTTTTCAATCAACGTATTTACAGCTTTTTAGAAGCCACAAAAGATGGGTTTCATATTTTCTATTTTTAATATTGAGTGTGTGCTTTCAGTGACCCACGACTTTGATTAAATTTGGTGGTCGCATCGATACCTCAGAAAACGGCCCGTGACCTTGAAAAAGAGAGTGAGCGAGACTCGAACCGGCCAGTTCTTGATCGGCGGTTTTCGGGCGGAAAGAAACCGAATTTCGAGCCGCAAATTCTGTTCTGGGTAGTTGAGCTCTCATATGTCACGTACAACTAAAATCCTCGGCGAGCATAAATACCCTGTCAGTGTCCCTTTAAACAGTTGTTCCGGAAGTGAAGAACTTATATTCTT